AAACTTGAAAATTCTAGTGTTTTCCAATACTCATCAAATACTGTATGTCAACACTGTGACATGAGGGTCAAGGTCTTGAAATACTATGCGGCGTAAAACAACTTTGCTCCCCCGAAAAAGATGCACTCTTATTTAACATGCCCAACACCAATCAAATATCTGAGGGTCGACATCGACAAGGTGTTGAAGCCTGAACGTACACTTGAATAGGTCTTGCGGTTTACTTAGGGTTCCAAACGAACGTTCAACTTTCAAACATCTATTTTCAACAGAAATATTCAGCCTATCTTTAAATATCCCCCCCTCAACAAAGCAAACTATTTAGATAAACATTTTCAAACATCTATTTTTGAACCTAAAAATAAACAACTGTAGACTACCTCTAATTATTTTCAAAATATTAATAGACCACTGTGGTGTATTATTATTTTGAATTGCAGTTAAGAGGGAAAACCGGGAAACGAGGAGGAGGTAAATGTCTAAAACGAAAAGATTTTGAGCTTTCAAAAGATGTTTTCAAAGATATTTTCAAAAGATTTGACACTGCATAATAAATTGTTCAGTGACATGAGGGTGAAGGTATTGAAATACTATGCCAATGTAAGTCTACAACCATCTCCAAACACAACAATATGACATGGGAGGTTACTGCACATCTCTAAGATTTAGAAATTATTACTAATATGTTATGCTTAAGAAGAATTTCGATTTATATACAATCAAATCCTAATAACAATAACAATGTACTATGTTGTGAAAGTGTTTTAATTATGTGTACACATGTTTGACCTAATTTAAAACCGAATATGAATACAGTTAAAGTTTGATAATATTCCTCAATCTATTTTGACTGAAACGATTTAATCCTAAATTATTCCTCAATGCATTCTGAATTAAATAATTCCATTTTATTTTAATTGACAACAATGCTTGACTAATTGTAATAGTAAAAATCCAATACAATTAATAGTCAAGTATTACTTTCAATGTAACTTATCTTAACAATAATTGAAATCACAACTTTAAACATATATTATGAATGAAAATAAGGTATGAACTCCATTAAAAAGAAGGGGACAAAAAACATCTCAAAATTTAAAAATTTAAAACATAATATTGGCATAATATTTGATGAATACCGGGACAGAAAAATGGCAGTAAATAAAATATTGGAACAGAATATTTGACGAATATATCTTCTTATATTTTTGATAAAACCTTTCCGATTTTCAATAAATATATTGACCTTGTTTACCGCTCCCTATTGCCAAATACACGCATATGTACGTATTGCCTTCATCCATTGAATTGTAAAATCACAACTCTTCACTCCACCTTTTCACCTTCTCACTCCAATAAAACCGTCACCTCATCGAATACTTAAGCCCCCGTTTTATCTCTCTCTCCTTGTATTTATTTCCTTCACCCATTGAATTATCAAATCACAACTCTTCACTCCACCTTATTACCTTCTCACTCCTCTTAAACCGTCAGTTCATCCATTATTTAAGCCCCCCGTTTCCAACTCTCTCCTGTCTCCACCTATTTCACCTTCATCTTCACCTCAAAGCCTCATTCTTTACAGAAATGGCGCCCAAAAGAAAGTACATTGCCTGTTATATCTTAATTCTCTTTGTTTAGTTCCTGAATTATTTCGAATTTCTCTCCCCAAACTTTTCATTTTCTCCCTCTCTAAAACCTCCTTCACTTCCTCAATTATGGTTGGTTTTTTCTCCATATTGACGCTATACGCCACCTAAAGAAATCCCTCGAGAGATACTAACGCTGCAGATTATTCAAATAAGCCCCCTCGTGGTACTTGTTCGCTATCAGTCTCTCGCCAGTATTTAGCCTTGGACGAAATTCACCGCCCACTTGGGGCTGCATTCCTATTTAATGTTATATACCCGTTTCGTGATTGCATTTCTCTGATGATCTGTAACATCCCGGTTTGGTCCTGTACAATCAATTCTCTTTATTTTTTTTTTCAGGTTTTATTTACAAATTAAAAGAAAAGATGAATTTATGCAGTCGGGGTGAGCTGCCACGACTGTTAGACGAGCATTGTCGTGAGGAGAATGAGAAGCGTCGGAGAGTTGAAGCTCGTTCGGAGTTTGACTTCCTTTATCTTCCTATTGATTTCAAGCGCGTTTTTATTCTCTATATTTCTTGTCTTTTACTGGTTTTATTTCCTTTACTTGAATTTGGGTAATTAACATAGGAGGAGAGGTAATTTGGGGTATGCCTTTGTGAATTTTACAGATCGTTGACAATCAAAACGGTGAAGATAAGTGTATTATATCTCCCTCAAGTTTCGATAAGCCGAAAATTGGTTACAACGGGAATCATACCTGTATCTTCTCACCCGAGCAGCCTGATGTACTGAAAAGTTTAGATGAGTGTCATGAGATCTTTTAGCGGAACACCAATCTAGACAACATAAGCCACAGTCACGCATATTATCATTGTTCCTCCATGGCATTTTTTTGATTCCTATTTTGAATTCTTTTAGTAATTGTTTCTAAATTCCAATCGGGTGATTACGGGTAGAAGAGAGGTGATCTTGTAAGTGCTTTAGGGCTCTAAAGGAAAAAAAAAAAGTTTAAAAACCTACGGGTTGAACAACCCTAGGCGGAGACGTAGGCATTTTTTGCCAAACATCGTAATAATATCTATCTCTTTTACTTCTTTTTTGCTTTTTTTTACTGCCTTTTACTTCATTTTTATTCACGCAACTTATTTTTAAGCCTTGAAGTAAACTCAAAGCCTTGACAATGAAAAGTTAAATCAGTTTATTATGCATTTGAACAACCCTAGGCGGAGACGTCAGCAACTTTTGCCGAACTTTGTAATAATATCCGTCTCTTTTACTGCTTTTTTTTATTTATTTTATTGCTTTTAACTTCAGTTTTATTTACGCAACGTGTATTTAAGCCTTGAAGTACCTCTCAATGCCTTGACACTGAATAGTTAAAGGAGGTACACCTTGAAACTTCGTTTTTAAAACTTGCGACAATACACAGTACTCTTTTTTACCCCCCCTTCTAGAATATTCTTGTTATTATTCCATAACCCTATTGAACCTTCACCCTTGCCGGAATTCAACAAGGGGAGATAATATGTGCTATAACAAGCTTTTGACCATGTTGTGTTAACTCTTGTTTATAGGTTATACTATGATATTTTTTGTGGCTGAAGCTTATATCAGTTGTGATTTTTACTTGGGAGTGGGCTGTACGCTTTTCTTGTATGTTTGATGGAGGTCAAATCCAATGCTAATATGCAGGTTGTACTGTTTCAAGTCCAATATTTTCAAAGTTTGTTTTCTGTGTTATAATCGGCTTTATTTTAAAAAGACAAATTCGGATGAAATATTCACTTAGCTCAATGCCTTAACCTTAACCCTTAAATGAAACAAAAATAACTGAGCTCATTGATTTCTTTTTCTTTAAGGCCACTTCAGTACAAAACTGATTCATTCAAACGTTAGTTTTGAAGACTCTCTACGAATTATTTTACAAAGCCTTGAAAATGATCTGAAGACCTTTACCTGTATTATTAATACAACAAACACTTCTACGAATTAATTTACAAAGCCTTGAAAATGATCTCAAGAACTTAACCCTGTATTATAAATACAACACAACAAACAATTGACAATTGGAATAATGTTTTATATTATTAATAAAGGGCTCCCCCATTACTCACCGTGAGAAACGTTTTTGTTTCTCACGGTGGTACATTTTATTTACGAAATGGATGATAACATTGTACCATTTTAGTCACGGTGGTACATTTTATTTACGAAACTGCCACTGAGAAACAAAAACGTTTCTCACAGTGAGTAACATAGATTTACTCTTATTAATACAACAAACAATAGGAATAATATTTCGTCAACTGACACTTTTTGAGTATTAAACAAAACTGAAAATAACAACCATATCCTAGAACCCTTATTACACACATTCCAAAATAAAATGAATTAACAATATCCAAATCCTGTAAGATTATTCAAAACATTCCGCACTAAAAAATAAATACAAATAGAAATACAAGCAGAAATACAAATAGAAATACAAGTGTAACTGAGCTCATTGATCTGTCAGCTCGGGGATTCGGCCCCTCCTTTGCCTGGCTTTGAAGTTAATCCCAGGCACCGGTAAATCATGCATCTGCATCCAAACAAAGTTACGACCGATTCAGATTCAAAGTACACAGGTGAAACAACTACTTTAAGATCAAACCTCACATTATTCGATGCAGCTTGTAGAGGTCTAACACTACCCCTTGCATCCCTTGGGTGTTGTTCACCGTAAGCAACATCCAATAGCTTCAACCACACAACCCAATACAAATGGAAAAAGGTTACTCTAAACCTTATTTGATTGAATCAGAACACTATGCATACTATGCAATATAATACAAATACAAAAATGCTTACCCCTAGTTTCCCGTAGTCGCCGAAAAGCAATTTGTCTAATTTTGCTGCCTTCCCAATCTGCTGCATTGTCCACACTTTGATTCTTGGAAAAACATCCCACTGAATAGGATCCCTATCCAATCGATCCAAGTAAAATATCTGCCAAATAATAAAGGCAAAACAAGCAATTACTAAACCACAAAAGCACAATATAAAAAAAAAATCAGGCAACAATACACTGAAACACATACCACGACAAATATTGCACACCCGCCGCATCCACTGGCAAACCCATTAGCATAGAAATGTCAAGCAAAATTTTGTACGCTCTCCAGCAACTTCGACAACACTAAAGAACACCAATCGTACTCAATTGCCTCCATAACACAGCTTATGGCAGGTAATAGGTCAAACGCAAGCCGAGGTGACTGCGTGGGACACAACACCATCTCTAAAGCATTATCAAGAACAACGTCTTGAATTCCTCTTCCTCTCCAGCATCAAAGTACCCCTCCAACCGATTCATCATATATGAACTTAATGGTATGCCGACAGACGTGTACACCTGACCAGATTGTCAACCAGACTTGGACTCCCACAATTTACCATACTTGAGAATAAATCTCTGAACCTTCACACGATCATGTTGGGTCATGGTTATAGTACTAGGAACAATTCTAGAACCCATTGGTATCCCTAGTACCCACCGAACCTGATTATTTGAAAACCGAAACTCAAGTCCGTTGGGACTCCTAAGCATTTTACTGATTGGATCCATCCGTGTGATGACCCAGTATGCCAATTGCCTTGGTAAATGCATATCTAAAGCAAGATGTAAATGACTGCCAAATCCCATCTCACAAACCCAACGTCTTCGCCTGTCATCAAATTTCTGACATATGTGCCCAAATGACTCGATGCTGCAACCCATGTTAGGAGGCTGCCAATGAAATTACAGTCATTAAGTTAATGTTCCTATCCCACACCCTCTGACAACTTAATTAACAAGCAAACTTACCCGACTTCTGGCCTTTGAATGTTCAGCCATCACCTCCGCCCTACCTTTGATGGCCCCTCCATAGCTTAATCCGTCATCCTAAGCACACCAGAAACTAAATTCATTCAATGATTCCATAATCGTGCAAACAAAGCAATTTCACACACGCAGAATTCCGTAATGTAGTACCTTAAACAATTCTGGATACAAAGGCATGGTCTTCTGCTCGCATACATTACTCTTGTTACTGAGCCTGTTTCGGGGTTTTCTGATGTCCTGAGGGAGAGTTACAATTCCGAGACTGGAACCGGACGCCTGTACCTGCAAAACAACGGAGACTCCTTGTGGTGGGAGCTCCGCCTCCAACGGTCAAGTTAGTACTTGATTAAGGAGTAATTAATGCGGAAATTAAAGTGATTGGGTCTCACTAGGTGAGAGTGTTTAATGTGTGTAATCTGCGTCCCCCCCCTTAATGAGGATTCAGGGAGGTATTTATAACCTCGGGAAACGTGCCAATCTAGGTTTAGGTTAACCTTGGGCTGATTGGGCTTCCCTCGGAAGTTGGGCCTTGGTGACTGGCTTCTCCATTAGGCATGGAGTATGCCACGTGTCATGATATAATAAGTCCAGGGTGGACGAATAAGCGTGTGCCACGTGGCAAGCCCTGAGAGGTCCAACTAGGGGACACTTGGCAGGACCTTATTGGCCTACGTGGCGCATTCGGATTGGTGGGAGCAAAATCCCCTAATCATTTGCCCCTCACAGGTGGCACGTGACTGGTCACGTGTTACCTGTGACAGGTATCGCCCTGTAACAGGCGACGACCTGCTACAGGTGTCACTCGGCGAGAGGCCGAGAGATTCTCCCGCCAAATTTTGAATTCTGGAAGTGACCCTTCTTCTTCTCATTTCGCCTGTATAAAGGAGTGTTGACTTCGGTTATTTTCACACTTGAAAACTTTGTGAGAGAACATTCGGACCCCTGAACTTGCTCTGACATTTTGGACCCTTTCTGCCTACCGCCTGCTCTGACAAGCCGACTGCAAAGGATTTTCAGAACTTCATCAATCGTCACTCGTTCAGGTAACCGTCGGTTCTCTTACTCTTAATTTTCTCTTTACTTTATTCTTTTTTGAAATGGCACCACGCAAGCACACGACACGACCTAGGTTAGTGATCAGTCGGTCACCAGGGACGGCTGAATCTAGGACTAGGAGTGCCGCCTGCCCTTTTATGGACCCATCTTTGCCCTTTATACAAAGTCCGACTGTATCTGTGTCTATGCAGAGCATGATGGCCAGAACAAAAAAGACTGCTAGGATCTCAAACTCAGACGGCTCCTCCCACAGGGTGCCGATTAGTGAAACATCTGACCAGGCGCCAGAAGTGGAAGTGAAACAAAGCGGCTTGAAAGCCGGCAGTTCTGAGGGAGGAGTCGAAGTGACCCCTTCCCATTTTACAGTTGACAATTCTACATTCTCTCCTGCTCCTTTGAAAGGAGAGGAGGCGGGCCCCTCCGGGAGAGGAGAGAAGTCACCCTCTTCAGACTCGTCAGAGGACGAATCCAAGTCTAGCTCTTCTGGCCATGCTTCTCTGGACACAAAAGAGAAAAACAGTCGCCTACAAGAGGCGAGGCTTTCTCACGTAGTTGAGAAGGGGGACGATTGGGCGGAGCCATCCGCCTCTCACCGAGAGCAAAATACCCCCTACTACTACACGGTACCTCGGGGCCGAATCACGGCCATGCAAGAGAAAGTGGAGAGCTTTATCGCAAACCACACAATGGGCCCCGGCTTTTTAGTGTTCGTGCCGGATCCAGAAGACACAGTCGTCTGGCCGGCTAGTACCAGTTATGATGGCGCCTGCTTTGGCTGCTACGAGGCGGCCATCAAGGCTGGGCTGCGCTTCCCACTACATCCGACTGTTCAGCGGATCTTGGATGGGTATGAGTTGGGGTTATGGCAGTTAGCCCCGAACTTCTGGGTCAACGTACTCGGCTATGTGGCCGGGTGCGAACTGCACGGGGTGGAGCCGAACTTCGAGGCTTTCGCCCACATGAACTACCTCAGCCGGACCCCTAAGGCAAGCGGTACCGGCTGGTATCAATTGACGAGCCATAGGGGCTACCTCATGACGAGAGGTAAAGCAAACAAATGGAAGGACTGGCGGAGCACCTTCCTTATCATTGAGAGTTCAGACACAGAGCTGAACAAGCGCTTCAACAGGTGGAACAGGAATCCGCCCCTTCTTGCAGGCGGCCGCCATGCCGCCTGTTCCCCCCAAGGCTAAGAAAGAGATCCTAGATAAAGGACTCTTCAAAGTAGAGTCGAAGGTGAACTCTACTTCAGGGGTACGAGAGCAAGTACCCCTGCACTGCGTCCTGAGCTTCAAATGGCTCTACGACGAGTACTTTTTGGCCGCCTGTGGCCTCAGCAGTCGGTGCTTAAGAGGTAGCCAACCTGTCGAATACTCTGTTGTTCCGTGCATTTCTTGTTATGACTTTTATTAACTATGCTATTTGTTTTTGCAGCGGACGCCATGAGCAAAATTACCGCCTCCAAGACTGCGGCGACCATGTTGCGGGCCTCCATCATGCAACAGTCTTCAACCGACTCCCCCAACAAGGGGGCACCCTTGGTGGGCTTCGAACCTTTCACCCTCTTTTTGGAGTTGTGTTTATGCATATACTGACTATTTTCTTCTTTTTTAGACGAGCGCTCCAAGAGCTTCTTCTTCCCAATAGCCGGACCCCAAGGCCCGGAGGACGACTGTTGCGAGCTCTCCTGGTTCTTCCAGGAAACATGCGGCGGCTGAGAAACAGCCGGCCACTTCTTCTAAAACTCCAGCTGGGCCACCTAGAAGTATGAAACTGTCCTTGTAAATTTTAGACTTGCTCCCTTCTTTACTAGGTCTAATCCGTTTGTTTATGCTTGATGCAGCCGGCCCTCAGGAGCCTGACTTGGTCGAAGGGGCCAAGTCTATGATCAAGGCCGTACCTCCAGCTGAAAGGGAGGCGGTCAGGGGTGTCGGCACCCTTGACCTAGACGGGATTGCAGGGGTTCTTGCTGAGGTATACTTAGCATATTTTTGAGTATTTGAATTCCAGGACGCCTGTTTTTTTTTTTTGTTTGGAAACTGACGCCTGTTCCCCTTTTTACTTAGGCCTTGCTCCGAGTGAACGGCCTTCGCAAGCCGCTTGACCGGAAGAACAAAGAGGTAAAGGCTGCAAAAGCTATGGCCGCCTCTGACTGTGATAAGGCAATGTTTGAAATTGCCGAAAATGAAGTTCTGACAATTGATATTCTTTATTATCAGGCGCAGGCTACCGCCGCTATCCGGGCTCAGTTAGAGGCGGCCCAGAAGAGGAATAGCGAGCTGGAGGCGACCATCAACAACCTCAAGACCGAGCTGAGACCTCTTCGCCACAAGATGTCCTCATACGAAACCTTGGAGAAATCCTTGGCGAGCGTAAAGGAACGCCTGGTGACCCAGGAGAAGAGTCTTAATCAGGAGCTCTCGGAAAAGGCCGAGCAAGAAAAGAAAGAGATGGTCCGGGAGATGATGGAAGACTCTGCTCAAATCCAGCGCATGACTTGGGGCCGCCTCTTCCCCAATGCCAACTTTGCCTCCTGGGAAAAAACGTACCGCCAGTGTTCTGATAGATATAATCAAGAGATCCTGGCGGCTGCAGAGGAAGAGGCGCTGGAGAAGGAGGAGCAGCCGGTGGTGGCGCTTGTGCCGCTTGGGGGTAATACATCGAAGAAGGATGCAGCTGAAGCCGAGTCCAGCAAAAAGAGTGCTGACCAGGCGGCAGCTGCTAATATTGAAGATCTGCCCCCTTCATAAGCTTTATGTCTTCTTTCCCTGGCCTGCGTGCCGTTTGTTTGTATTTACCCGGCCAGGGGGCCGGGGCTCTGAATATTTTGCCGGTCTTTAATGACTGGCTTCCTTTTAATGAATATTTTTGTTTTGCTTCAAATTTGTTCAAGTATTGAATATTCTAATATCCAATTGTACACTATACCGACTGTTTTACATGGCCGATAGTTGTAGACAGGTACGGATAGTTAGTCACGCCGCCTATGCCCCTGGACGACTGGTTGTCTTTTTCCAGGCTAGACGATCAGTCGACCATTTATCCAATCGGTATTCGAACCATTTTAAAGACTGGATCCCCTTTAGGCAGGCGGTTCTGTCATTTGTAAAATTAACCAAGTAGGAAAGTGGTTTCCTACTTGTCATGTTTTTAGGCTAGAGACTTTAGGCCGTCTAGGCCGACTATTCCCCGCCATATTTAATCTAGTGTGAACAGGTGCTGTATGAACACCTTTTTAGTTTCATACTAAATTTTTAAGGAGTGACCAAGTAAACATGATTGTTACCTAGTCGCCAAGTAACTGAGTAGTAGAGGTATCAAGCGGTGGGTACCGGTTGTTCCCCTTTATTCGGCAATGTTTGTTGGCTTTTAACTCATAGGTTGTTAACCTAGCAGGAGTAGTGGTTGAGAGCCCCTGTTTGCTAAAAAACAGGCGGACGACTCATACCTTTTAGGCTCCATACTAAGTTGGAGAGAGTGACTATGAGTTAACTTTGGTGTTACTCAGTCGCCGTCACTCCTGCTTGAGTAGTTAAGGTACCAGGCGGCGGAGGCCGGCTGAACCTTTTGATTCGCCAATGTTTGTTTGCTATTAACTCAAGAGGTACCCCCTGCATTTATCCCAAGTAATACAGGCGGTCATCTGACTCAGATGTCAACTGCTACCACTGGTTTGGTTAGCGATAGAGTTATCCTTGTCTCAAAAACGGCTACGTGGTTACCCTTGGGGACATTCGTATAGGTGCCGTGTAATTAGTTTATAGAGCAATGTTCCACCCAAAAGGGAGCTGCTCTCTGCGACGAATTTCATCCGGAGGGATGCCGCTGGACGCCTGCTATGATGTTGGGACAGGTCGTATTAGTTTAAAGATCGAATCAGTTGGCTTGGCGCCTGGTCTGATCATTCGGTTTGTGGCCTTGGTTAGTTCTTGGTGAACGTAGGTGCTAAGTAAGAGGAGGGTAGCCGCCTGTTTAGGCACAGGGTCGGCCAGGCCCTGATCATTTTTAGCTAAGTATAAGGGGGGTGGATGTGTGCTTTGGAACCAGTCGGCCCTCTTCTATGGAGAGTAGCCGACTATATGTCCAGACGGCATGCCCCTATGGTGATAGAGTAAAATATTCAATGGAGAGTAGCCGACTGTAAAGGTACATGCGGC